CCGCCCTGGGCCGCGGAGACGGGTGGCGGCTGGAGGTGGCAAAGTTGACGGGATCCACGGAAGTCTCTTTCCCAGACGTGGAGGGGGTCGACCTGGAGCCATCTGGTTTGCCTCCTAGACATCTTTCTAGAGGAAGGCTCCCAAATGTCACCTGTTTGGGAGGATCGGTGTCGCCTGTACGCTGCACGGTGACATGGACCGGACATACCACCAGTGACATAAATAGGTTGTATACCCGTGAATGTAAAGGAAATTCATTCTCACCCTTTTGGTCTCTCCTATTATGCAAATACGATATTTGTCCAGTCCACACCCAAGGTCAAGAATTCTAGGTAAGCTCCACCTACCTATTAGATACCACACTTCAAAAACTCAGTACTAAATCACATGCTCTCCTATGTGTAATGGCCATTTTCTCCCTACCCCAAGAACACTAGCTGCCCAATTGATCCTTTCTTTTTTTTTTTTCCCCAGTAGATTTGGTGGAAGTATGATTAGTTTTGGAAATGGACCTCAAGTTGCAGATACAAAACAAAAAATAGACTTTTTTTGTGTGCCTTTTGGAAACATAAGCTATGTCCCGTTGTTTCTGCTTTCTGATCTTAGGTCAGCTACCGTTCTACTGGTTCTGCTCACATCCCATGCTCTCTCCTCTTTAGTTTGGATTGCAGCCATTGGCCTGCCCTTCCAAACACTAACCTGTCTCCTCCACGAGTCACACACCAGCCAAAGCAATTTTACTCAAGTTAACACTCTTACTTAAAACCTCTGATGGCCCCATCATACTTGGAATAACCTCCAAATTTCTTATCACAATGTGTAAGATGCTACATAATCCAGCTGCTGGCCCTACATCTGATAGCTCTCTGACCATTTGTTCACACAAGACTTAATAATGTTCTTTCACAAGACTGTCATCCATGTCATCTGGACTTTATACAATAAAACTTTACACTTCTACTGCCAGGGCTGGTCTTTCCTATTAATCTTCATTAATTAATTGTTCCTTCCCATCACTTATTTCTGGTCAAGTAGTTTTCTTCAAGACCATCACTGTTTTGACACCATTCTCATTAGTTCATTTATAAGTATTAAATCCTCTGCCCATCACTAGAGGCTTGCTATCCTGAAGTAGACTACAGTTGAGACAGTGAGCACACACATTGTATGGGAATGGCATAACAACTAAATGGAGATATGGAGTACCAGCCGGGGAGATGAACTTTTCTTCTAAAAGCTCAAAGATTAAGGGAGGTTTGTTAATAAATTGGCATTTGAGAAAAAGAACTCAAATGAGAGCAGACAGAGGAAGTATGTTTTGAAGAATTATCTAAATTACGAGATGTGGGAAATGAGAATAAGAGATCAATGATTACTGGGTTTTGGTTCTGACAACTGTAAGAACAGAGGATCTTTTGGGATGAGGAAGACTTAAGGAAATGGGGTGGGCAGACTTATTTTAGGGAGGAGCTTGTGGGAGATCTTTGTTTTAGATATGTTAGAATAGAGACTGATGGTCATCAAAATGGAAATTCACTCTAAACAGTTGGCTATGAATGTCTAGCATTCAAAGAAAGAAGCTGTCACTCAAGATAGTAATTTAGCGATTGTCAGCATGTAGTTGGTGTTTAAAGCCCTGACACTAGATGAGGTCACAAACAGGATTAATAAAGGTATTGATGAGAAATTAATATACGGAGCAAGAAGAGAGCTTCAAGACTGAACCTCTGAGTGTTCTAGGGTTCAAGAGAGGAAGGCAAGTCTTCAAAGAAGCTGTATAGCAACAGCAGTCTCTAAAGGATAATCAAAGCTGTGTCCCAGAAGCCATGTGACTTCTTAACAAATAGGGTCTTCCAAGGAGAGAGTGACCAATTGGGTGAGATGTGAAGAGAATTGACTTGAATATAACAACATTCTCAATGACCTGCAGAACTATCTCTGTTAGGTAGTGGGGATAAAGGTACTGGGATGGGAATAAAGACACCAGGAGTGGGGATAAAGGTAGCAGGAGTGAGGATAAAGGTAGCAGGAGTGGGGATAAAGAGCCAAGTGGACAAAAAGGAAATTCAGACACTTCAAAGGAATTTGGCTTTACAGTGGATCTAAGAGAGCAGTAGGTAGTTCAAAGGGACTCTGCTTTTCAAGGAGGAAGATGTGACTGTAGAATGATAGGATTGACTTGGTAAAGAAAAGTTCAAAAGCATGGTGCTAGCAACTATGAAAGACCTCATTGCTCAGTATATTAGAGTACATCATATGGGGAGAGAGCAGGTATGCTAGGTCAGATATCTCTTAAAGCCTTTTCCAATCCTAATGTTTTTAACACATGAACTTTGGGCAACACATTCAAACCATAGCAACAGAGCAACAAGACAATTCAGAAGCTGTGTAGGCATTCAGATTCAGGGTGGCAGATACAGTGAAACTTTTACAAGTTCTGCTTCCTGTAAGTTTCTTGATATATTTAAGTATAAAGTCAATGATAATGAGTGAGTTCCAGAGAAGGCAGCTGGAGATATGAGAAGATTGGAAATTGAACTAGTTTTGTAGGCTAATGGTGGGGGACAGGACTAAGCAGATAACAGCGGCAAGGAGCCATTGAGATTAGTGGTTATGAAATCAATGACTTCAGCTTTACTGTTCTTCCTATGTCTGGATCCCTAGTAGTAGGTATAAAGATGGCAGGAAGGAAAGAAGGAAGGAAAGGAGGGAGGCAGGGAGGGAGGGAGGGAGGGGGACAGAAAATATTTAACAAGGTTGGGATTTTTCTAAGTAAATAGAAAGGCAAAGGTTGAGTTGAGGATATGTACAGATAGTGAAGGCAGTGGACAACAGACTCAGTAAGAGAAGTAAAGACAAGAGAGTAAACTTAGAAGGGGGCAGGATTAGTGAGATCTTTCTTTTTCTTCAATGACATTTGTAACAGCACCTACAAAGTCTGTTTTTATGCCTGTCTTCCTCTTTAATGTCTGTCTTCCTCTTTAAAATGTAGCTCCCAGTTGGGTGGTAGTGATGGCGCACACCATTAATCCTAATATCTAGGAGGCAGAGACAGGTTCTCTGTGAGTTCGAAGCTAGCCTGGTCTACAGTTCAGGATAGCCAAGGCTACACAGAAGAACCCTGTCTTGAAAAACCAAAAATAGTATTAATAATAAATAAATAAAAAGTAAATAAAATGTAGCTCCCAGATCCTGCAGGGTTTTTTTGCCTTATTCATCACTCTATCCTCAGCTCAAAAAGCCTTGCCTTAGTAGGTAGCATTTGCCTAATGAATGAATGCAAGCCAAAATAAACTTTTACTATAGGATCTAGAATGTCATATATATATATATGTGACTGAAAGCTGTGCTATTCAAGATACAACAAGCTATTTCAGTTGTCTGACTGTGAAGGTTTATTTTTGCTCTATAAAACTCTGGTCTGTTCAGGCAGCTCTCTAGGGCTACCATTCATGAAATGTATTCATTGCTCAGGCTGCTTTGATCTTAAAGATCTGCCATCTCAGCACGAGACCTTTATATTCCAGATAGTAGGGGAAGAGCAAGAGGGGTCACGGCTGCTGCGCTTTTGTAGTTAGTGGCCAGTCATAGGATTATACCCAGCTCCAGATCTAGCCAGTATGGAAGCATGTAGGAAATAGCGAATATTGCTGCTTCTGCCATGGAAAGGGACAGTAATTGCAACCTTATGTGGTACAATCGAGACGAACAGAAGATGTACTTGAATACATCTGTTAGCTTTATTTGGGCAGTTGTTAAAGTATTGTTGTGTTTTCATTTTGCCTTTGATAAGTTTAAGCATCCATCACTTCTCCATATCAGTGCTTCTCAGACATTTATCAAAGTTGCACACACACACATATCTATCCTAGAAAACATAAGCTTTCTAGGCAGAGACCATGCCCGTGCCTTTATTCTCCCAGTGTTGGCATAGGGACCTGATAGTTTGTGAATACATAATTACTACATTGTACCCCATTTTAGTACTTAGACAGTGGTACAAGTCTGTTGTCTGGATGCTATTTAAAGATTGTTCAACAAAATTAACTCAGTGGGTTAGCATGCTTTGAACAAGCTGATGACTAGTTCTTTTTTAAACCTGGTCAGAAATGTAAATATAGTGACACATTTGTTTCTTCTAAAAACAAGATATCCTACTCTATTTTGGTAGAAAGAGTTAGCCAAAATACACATCTTCATAATTCAAGATGAGGGTTTAAACTGTGAATGCAGTAGTAGCCCACTGGCTGATGATAACTGGCTGTTCTAGCTTGCCAGTGGCCAGAGAAGACTACTCAAGGGAAGCAGTTAAATTATATAAGAGAAATGACAGTGAG